TGACTGAGATTACTGGCCAATATGCACCACCTGTGCCCCCTACTGTGCCAACTTGTGGTGTTTTAGCCACCCGGCGCTCCGCTTGTTGTGAGCATCGCTCCTGCCCTCCGTTATACCTATACACAACCGTACATACATACATGAAAACCCATGGATATGTACACACACACACACTGTACAAACCACAAATAGCAAACCTGCACCAACTAGCATGGTGAAGTATGGTCAAACAACTCTTATAACTGACACAGCATGGTGAGGCCGTCGTCCAGCAGTGGATTGACAAAAGGCTGTAAATTCTTATTGTTCTTATTGTAAAGAAATAAAACTATTTACCCGTGGCACACAATGGGAAGGGGAGTAAGAAGTCGGTTGCACAGAAGGGCAGCGGAATGGGGGGGGGGGGGGGGTGGGACAAGATGAGAGGGAGAGGGAACGGAGGCTGAGGTCGGAAGTCCCCAAAGCGGACAAAGAGGAGGGCACCGCTCCAGACGAGCAGCAGGAAGACAGGAGGAGCAGTGGTTGCAGAATGGGGAGGAGCGGGGGTGGGGAAGGAACGACTGGGCCAAGATGTTGGGGTTGAGAGAGGGCGATGGTGATGATGAGTGGGGAGAGAGGAGAGGGAGTAGCAGAGAGAAGGAGCGAGCGGACATGAGCTGCACGGAGGAGCGGCGTCTGTTTTCACAGGGGGCGGGGAGAGGGGAGGGATTCACACAGAAGTCACGTGATTCACGGGGGAGGCTTGAGCTGAGTTACATCGAGAGATACGGCTCACACTTAGCCATACAGACTGTGAGTAATGCTGCCGCTGTAGCACATGCTATTGTCTTTACCACCACAGCACTCACGCTGTAGCACATGCTATTGTCTTTACCACCACAGCACTCGCGTTGAGCGTACCACGCGCACCAGGCGTTCATTTTCGGCTGAAACAACCTTAGGTGGAGCCCCGGAGCAAAGATTGCAGACTCGTGGACTCGTGGTGCACTCTTGGGCGAAAGTGCGCGAATCACGAGTCGCCGCGAGCCCTTCTTGCGAGTTCATTTGTATTTGAAATCTATTCGAAATTAACTGCCACGTTTTATTACGTTTATTTAATGCCACTGTTGTAAACCTACAGAAAGTGACTTTGGATGTCGTTTGTAAAAAAAAATTACAAGGTCGTTAAAGTGACACGGAGAGAAATAAAACGGAAAGCTATGCACATACCTTAATTTAGCCAATGCGTTTAGTAGTATTATCTTTTCCATCGCATACATGACAGCTTCACGATTACCTAAATGCATTTCGGAATAAAAAAAAAGTTTATTTTATCCATAGCCTTAAATGCAATCCAATTTCCCTTTTCCAAAAAATGGGCGATAGACCGCAGATCAACGTCACATTAACACATCAGAATATTAACATTTTCACTGCAGGGAAGTTCCTGTTGCTTAAATTCTCGTTGAAATTACACCAAGAGCCAGGATGGTTACCACTTGGATTTCGAGATCATGTGCAAACTAGAGACATCATATCGACTGATAAGAAATAGTGCTGTTAAGAAGGGCCTTTTCCCGAAACGTCGCCTATTATATATTTTTCTCCTCTTAAAGCCACAGTGTTATTGATGAATGCGTTTTGTTTTTTCGTTCTCGTTTGTGCACCGTTGCCAACGCAGCCGCATCACCAAATAATCTGTCGAGAAAATTAAGTGGTCTTTCGGTAGGACGCGTCCCTAGCAGGAGGACGATGGCCGACACGTCGAGACAGCAGACGGGGGCCGCCTGTTGGCAGCCCGAGGAGAGAGGGGTAACGCGCTGGGATGGGCATGGAAAAATCCGCTCGTGTGCGTGAGCAAGATGGATCGGTGCACTGCGAGATGGATTGTAAATGTTGGCAGCATTGCTCTCCAACACAGAACCGGTGTGCTGTACTAGTGACGAATCGGCACGTTCGGTTTACGTGACAAACCTTACTAGTTGGCTGTGTCGGGTGGTGGCGAGTTTAACGACACGTTTATATATTTACACGATCTAACCCAAAAAGAAAACCCTGTATTTTTGGATGATATTGGTCACGAAAGCCTCCTACGTGTTAAACTGAGATGGATTGAGAGTGCGTGAGGGGGCGCTGATAACTGTTTGGAAGGGGGGGGGGGGGGCGGCCTTCGACGAGCAGTGGAGAGGTCACAGGTCATCGCTGACGATGATGACTTTCGTATTAATTTACAGCGCTCGTGTCAGTCCAATGGTGGATGAAGGCCACTCCATGCACGTCGTATCAACCTTGGCGGTTGTTTGGCCACACTTGACCGACGCTGGTCAGTGCGGATGGGTGGAGGGAGGGAGGCAGGCCAGGACCGGTTCAGATATCGCTCATCGCTGATGTTGACGGTGGCCGGGATTGGACGCCAGGTTGTCGGGTTCATAGCGCAGTGCGCTAACCACTGCGGGACTTGCTCCCTCATTACACTGTTGGTATAAGGAGCACTTGACATACAGTCACGCGTCTCCATGCATTTACAAGAGACAGAATGCTCGTTTTTCAACAAAAAATCCAAGTGTGTGGACTATAAAATTCACTGGGGAACTGGGTTACGCAATTATTTACATACTGCACAGGGACCATCATTCTACCAAAGGTCTGTTTGACTAATCGGATAACACGAATATATTTGGATAAGAGAAAAAAAAGGTCGCTGTCCTATTCCCACTTGTGCCGCTGGACGGGAGGTGATGGGGCCTGGGCTTGGCGACGCCGTCAGCATCATCAGGCAACCTCGAACATGCACGGCGTTGTTTGCAGGGGGGGTGGGGGTGGCGGTGGGTTTCCTGCCTTCGGGGAGAGGCAGAGAAGTCCGGGGCGGCCACACACAAAACAAACAAAAAATAATTGATAATAAATTCCGGCCGATGATTCCCATCGACGGCCCGTCGTGCCGGCGGAAAAACCGAGCGCAGCAGTGGCGTCGCGTCGTCAAGGTGGGGGGGGAGGGGGGGGGGGGAGGGGGGGGGGCCTCTTGCGCAACTTGACGCAAAATAATCCTGCAGCTATTCGCCGGGGCCTCTCTCTTCCCCTTTCTGTTCGGCGTCCATGCGATGGGACGACACTTTCGTCTGCGCTTCTTGGTCCGTGAACAGCGCGCCATCGATTGTGCCTTTTCTAGGGTTTGACATTGGCCTTGCCCCCCAAATGCGTCTCATCGATTCTATTGGCCAATTTAGTTCACTGGTGGGAGAAAGGGGTGAGTTTGTTCATTACGGAGAAGACATACTGTCCTCTGATTTAAAGCCAGGGTTGTTATTTTATTTATAATTCTTCAATGCCTTTTCCTTCTCGCGCACAGCACAACACTGTTTCCGGGCGTGAGCATCTTCAAACGTGCTCTTGAAGGTTGTGAGCCGCTTTTTGCATTGTGCACTATTAATACAGTGAGGGAAAACGGTATTTGATCCCCTGCTGATTTTGTACGTTTGCCCACTGACAAAGAAATGATCAGTCTATAATTTTAATAGTGGGTTTGTTTGAACAGTAAGAGACTATATAACAACAAAATAATCCAGAAAAAACGCATGTCAAAAATGTTATAAATTGATTTGCATTTTCACAAGGGAAAAATAAGTATTTGACCCCCTCTCAATCAGAAAGATTTCTGGCTCCCTGGTGTCTTTTATACAGGTAACGAGCTGAGATTAGGAGCACTCTCTTTAAGAGGGCCGATCGGCTGCTGAACTAAAAACGCGATTTCGTGAATGTTTCTCGAGAGATGGGCATTTTTTGTCTGTTGATTCTGAAAAAAATCCCATAATCCCTCAAAAACGGGACGTCATACACCTTATAAATGCTACTGTAGTTTACTGGAATTTGTGCAGCTTAGGTTGCTCCTTTTCTTTGCTGGTTTTTGCATGATTGCACATTTATCAGAGTCGTTTTAATTTATCAGAGTCGTTTTAATGTCTACAACCTCTTGTTTTTTATTCGCATCTGCTCGTGGTTTATTCCACACGAGCAGATCCACAACAAAATTATCCCAATCCATTGCCATATGCAAATAAAGGGTACCGTTGCCTTCTAGGCCACGTAAGTGGCTGTCCTATGAATAGACTCCCCCGGCCAGGGGAATGTGGAATTTCCTCTACTGGCTGAGGGATACTCAGAGAGACTGCCACTCCAGTGCCCATTGGAGCTTGGAGACATTTATGTACTTGATTGGACGGCTACTTATGCCTGAAACGTGTTAGCGCTGCAGACCGACCCCTCAACGTGACGTTGGGCGTGTTGTGAGTTTAATTCCTCGTCAAGGGGTAAGTCAGCTGACCATATGCCCATGGCGTCGATAAAATGGAGCATTACGACAAGTCAACAGTGGAGGTTTTGCGTATGGCTATATTGACTCTTTTTAATCTTGTGTTTTTAAATGCATTTTAACTGGATTAAACACACTGTGTGCCTGTGTGTTTTGTGGGGAGCGGTATTGTAGTGGTTAGCGTGCTGCGCTATGAACCCGGCGAACCGAGTTCGATTCTCGCTCACGGCCAACACCAGTGACGATTATTTGAACCGGTACTGGGCCTCCCCTAGGTCGACTCAGCCTTAAATGAGTATCTGGTGTGTAAACATCGCCACTAGGGATACAAAGGCGGTCGGGCTTGGTGCTGGCCACCCACCTCCTCGTGTACCGTTCCAGCCTTCATACGTGCTCGCTAACAGTACTTGCCCCAACAGTCAGTTAGAGGCTATACGGGGATCTTTGTCTTTGTTTTGCCCGTGTGTTTAGGTGCCTGTGTGTGCTGGTGTGTGTTTGTGCGTGCTGGTGCGAATGTACGTAATTTTTTTCTCAGATCATTTGGTTTTAAATACTTTATACTTTTTAATATTTTACATCTTGTTCATTAACTCTTGCTCCCGTGTCTGTCTGCTAGCCGAAAGTCACCCTTGAAAAAGAGTTGTATAGCTCAATGGGCTATTTACTCGGATAATAAACTTCTGATTCTGTGCGCGTTCGCCGGTGTTTGCAGAGATCAACTCGGCCGCTGCCTCCCCGGAATGAGCCGGGAGTGAGACCGGACGCTTCCAGAGCCGGCGCCGCACGCGAAGAGACGATGGAGGGAAGCCCCATGCACCCAGACGCCGCATCCTCCTCCTCCTCCTCCTCCGAGCCTCGACCCCAACTCCCCGCCGCCGCCGCCGCCGCCGCGCCGTCCGTGGACGCAGCTCGGCCAAACGGAGGCGCGGCCGCCACCTCGCCCGCTCCCAGACTCCTCAACGGGCTCGACTTTGCCGAGGACACGGTGCTGGTGGCGAAACAAATAATGGTCACCGACGACGACGACGACGACGACGACGAATGCGACCGGGAGGACGGTGCCGCTCTTACTGCGGACGTCGCGGCGGCGGGGGGCGACGCGGAGACGACGCGCGCTCGCGGCACGCCACCCACGCCGGCCGCTCGAGTCGGGGACGAGACGCCGCTCCCTGGCCCCGGGCCTCTCGCCAGGGCGGCTGGTGCCGGGGGCCGGTCCTCGGAGGCCCGCTTCGAGATCAAAGCCTGCAAGGAGGAGCGGAAGCCCTCGAAGCTGTTTTCCGACGACGACGACGGCGGCGGCGGCGACGGTCATTCCGAGGGCGGCTACCGTCTCTGCCGCAAGGCCCGGCGCGACGAGGAGAAGCAGGGGCTGGAGATGGAACGGCAGGCGCTGATTCGGAGCCAGGCCAAGCGCAGCGTGGCGGGCTCGCTGTCGGGCGGCGTCGCGTCGGTGGCTCGCGCGTGGAACCCCCCGCAGGAGGCCACGCTGGAAGACACGCTGCACGAGTCGCAGCTCGAGTCGCTCCGACGCTACCAGGAGCGGAAACAAAAGCAGCAGCAGCAGCGTTGGGGCGGCCACGTCACGAGCGCCGAGCAGCGGACAAAGACGGCGGAAGGGACGGAGCCGGATGCGGCGTCGCCGCCGTACAGAAAGCAGGTCACCAAGAGCGTGTCTCAGCCCGCCATCTCGGCGGCCGTGGCGCCGCAGCCGCAGCCGCGAGTGAAGAACGAGAACGTGGAAGTGGCCCCGGTGGACTTTGCCATGGCGCGTCGGCAGTTCCTGATGATGGAGAGGGCGAGCCACCTGCAGTCGTCGCTGCCGTACCCGATCCGGCGCAGGGCCAGCGTGGACCAGTCGCTCACGCCGCAGTCGCTGGGCTCCATCCCGCCGTCGCCCCGCACCGCGTCCCCGCAGTCGCCGCGCTCCACCTCTCAGTCGCCCATCTTCCCCGCGCACGCCGCGCAGCGCCCGCAGGTGTCTCCCAGCTTCATCTTCTCGCACGCCAGCTTGCCGCCGAGCCACGCGCCGGGCTTCCCCCCCGCGCACGCCACCAACGCGGCGCAGCAGCAGCAGTCGCCGGGCTCCGCTCGGCTCCCGCCGTGCTCCGCTCGGCCCGCGACGCCCGAGTCGCCCGCCGTCGTTGCCACCCACGCCACGCTGCCCTCGCCACAGTCGCCCGGCTTCGTGTCGCTGGCCACCGGCTTCCTGCCGACGCAGTTTCCGGGCTTTACGCTCGCGCGGCCCGCCAAGTCGGTGGCCGAGGCCGCGGTGCAAACGGACACGGAGGAGCTGTCGGAGGAGCAGGGGGGCGGTGGGCAGCCTCCTGCGACGGAGCCGTCGAGAGCGGAGGCCGCGGGCGACGAGTCCGAGGGGAGGGTGCCGGAGCGAGACGTGGGGGTTGAAGCGGAGGTGGGGCAGGTGGCTAGCACTGAATGTGCGAGAAGCGAGTCGGGTGAGCAAGAAGCACCGGGCAAAGAAGAGCAGGAAGGGGGGGAACGTGTGGAACCCGTGATGATGGCTTTTGTAGACGTAATTAATGAATTGGACGTCGAGCATCAGGATGTTGTGGAAAATTCTTCGCAGCAGATTGCGCAAAAATGTCAGGCCGGGATTGATGCAGAGAGCAGGCCCACGGCTTCAACCTGCGGTGATATTGAAATGGATAACGCTGACCAGACTAAAGAACCAACCGTGAGCACTGAACCGTCACTCAAAGCATTGCATGACTCCGTGGATAATGAAAAGAAAATAATATCGCCGCAGGGTGCAGCCGCGGGCGATCAGCAATGGGAATCGACTGCGGAGCTCGCGGTGTTGATTCACGAGGTCGGCGCTCTGCACGTGATGAACGGCGCGAGTGAAGGCGAGGGAAAGAAGACGACGGGCCTCGAGGCGCCTCTGCCGGCAACGGCCGTTAGCGCGCCAGAGGCTGCGCAACTTCCGAGCGAGGGGGATTACGCTGAGCCGCCCTCGAAGCGTAGCGCACCGCGCGAAGAAGCTGCGGTCTTGAGTGACGAGCGGGAAAGGGCAGATAACGCAGCTCCAAAAAGCAGTGAAGTTAATCTTGCGGATAAGCCCACTGAGCCGCCCGGATCGAGTACAGAACAGTCAGATGGGCAGGACAATAAGGAGCAGTTGTTGGATGCAACAAGGCAGGGAGACAATACCACCGGCATTACCTGCGTGGAGGAATGCACGGCAGAAGCGGCAGAAGGTGGAAACAAAACCGATGTAGGCGAGAGGCCGGAAGGTACCATGTGTCTCCCAGACGGCCTTGCGAACGTTGAGCCGTCGTTGGAGAAGGATCGGGGATCTCTCGCTTTTTCGCAGACGCAGGATGGTCTGGACGATTCCTCCGCTGAAGTGAGCGGCGAGGCTGGCAGAGAAGACTGCGTCGTGGAGCAGGAGGCCGTGGAGATTGAGATCGTTGATGGGGAGGCAGGAGACGATGCCGCAACGGGCGATGCTGACAGTGAATCAGATCGCCTGTCTGAAAGCCGTGGAGGCTCTGCTGTGAAGTTTTCTGATCTGGAGGAGGATGGCGGCGGCAGCGGCGGGGGCGGGAGATTCGCGGACGTCGACGACGGACGGGAGAGCGTGGAAGCCGTTGCCGCGGAGATGGTTCGGGCCATGGTGGCCAAGGCGGTGGAGATGATGAACGCCACCGCGACTTCGGAGGATAACCGCGACGGCAAACCGTTGGAGGTCGCCGCGGCGGAGGCAGAGTGGGAACCCACGACGGAGGACTACACGCTCGCGTCTGAAACATCCGAGAGTTTGCTCGCGGGCCAAACCTCCCTCGACGCGTCCGAGTCCGCCGATTGCTTCAGTGGCATTGCGGACAGGGAGACCATGAGCGTTATCGTGATCGGTTCGGTGAACGCCGTCGGGCCAAAGGGAGAGGTGAGGGTGTTGGACGAGGCCTTGGTTTTCGCCACCGGCGAGCTCGACTCCGGGGTGGAGAGCATTGCCACCAAGACTCCCGATGGCGACAACAACACCGTGGGCTTGACCTCAACGGAGCTCAGCTTGGTGACCGACTTCTGCGACACGCCGAACGAAACGCCGAGCATCTCTGCGGACGTCACTCCGGACGTGGAGAAGGTGCCGATGCTGTTCATTTCCGTCAGCGACGAGAACAACCAGATCATTGAGCAGGAGATGATCGTGTCGTCGCTGCTCAACGAGCAGCGTAAGCACACAACGGGCCGGAAGGCTCCGTCGGACAAAACGGCGGAGCCCGTGACGAGGACGGGATCTGTCGAAGTGAAGGCATCGTCCCCCGGCTTTCAAAACGTCAACGGCAGCGACGAGAGCCTGAACGAGGATTTTGGAGCGGATGAACTTCAGATTGAGGATGTAGTGAAAGATTTGCAGGACACGGTCGCGTTCGAAGAAGGTAGGCAGGCAGATGTTGAAAGAAGTTTGGCTCAGGATGGCAAGCGCGTGGATGTAGCGGTGCCTTCAGTTGCAGAACACAAGCAAGTTGACTCTGGGACACCATCAGTTGAAGAAGGCGAGCAGGTGAAGGTTGTGATGCCTTTGGTTCTAGCACACACGCAAGTTGACCATGACACAACTTCATTTGAAGAAGGCGAGCAGGTGAATGTTCAGACACCGTCAGTTGAAGAAGGCGAGCAGTCAGTTGAAGAAGGCGAGCAGGTGACTGTTGAGACACCGTCAGTTGAAGAAGGCGAGCAGGTGACTGTTGAGACACCGTCAGTTGAAGAAGGCAAGCAGGTGGGTGTTGAGACACCGTCAGTTGAAGAAGGCGAGCAGGTGAATGTTCAGACACCATCAGTTGAAGAAGGCGAGCAGGTGGGTGTTGAGACACCGTCAGTTGAAGAAGGTAAGCACGTGAATGTTCAGTCACCATCAGTTGAAGAAGGCGAGCAGGTGGGTGTTGAGACACCGTCAGTTGAAGAAGGCAAGCAGGTGAATGTTCAGACACCGTCAGTTGAAGAAGGCGAGCAGGTGAATGTTCAGACACCATCAGTTGAAGAAGGCGAGCAGGTGGGTGTTGAGACACCGTCAGTTGAAGAAGGCGAGCAGGTGGGTGTTGAGACACCGTCGGTTGAAGAAGGCAAGCAGGTGAATGTTCAGACACCTTCAGTTAAAGAAGGCGAGCAGGTGGGTGTTGAGGCACCGTCAGTTGAAGAAGGCGAGCAGGTGGGTGTTGAGACACGGTCAGTTGAAGAAGGCGAGCAGGTGGGTGTTGAGACACCGTCAGTTGAAGAAGGCGAGCAGGTGGGTGTTGAGGCACCGTCAGTTGAAGAAGGCGAGCAGGTGGGTGTTGAGGCACCGTCAGTTGAAGAACACACGCAAGTTGACCCTGAGAAACCTTCAGTTGCATCAAGTATCGAAACGGAGCAATCCACCGATATTGACGTGTCCGTGCAGGAAAGAGACCCTGTCGCATCGTCCGCAGAGCAACAAACACCGAAGCCTTGCGCCGAAGAGAAAGACCAAGACGGCGAAGAGAAGTCGACGGACCGAGATAACGAAATCAACCTCCGGAAGGAGCGAGTGGAGATGTGCAAAGGAAATGCATCGATGCCGGATGAGTGGCAGAAGAACGCTGCGCTGCCCACCGAACCGGGCGGAGCGAGGCGGGGCGCCGCGATCGTCGTCATCGTCGATAATTCCACCGACCGAGACGACGAAACAAACCGAGAAGGCGAGAGGGCCGAGCTCTTGGCCGACGCGGCGCCGCCGGACGACGAGGATGGGGCTGCGGTCGGTTTGGAGGCGGCGTGGCCGCGGGACCGGGACGCGGCGGTGGCGGCGATGCGCGAGCTGGTCACACCACCGACCCCGCCTCCCTCGGAGGCGTCCGTTACCGAAACCGCGGTGCAGACGGACGCGGAGGACTTTCCCGAGGAGCTCGAGGGGTTCGAGTCGTCGGTGGGCCTGGCGTACGCCTACGCGGCCATGAACGACTTCGACGTCGGCGCCTGGCGCGCCGCCAACGAGGTGGCGAACCGTGCACTGGACGCGGAACGGCAACCGGCGGGCTCGCGTTCCGTGGAGGGCCCGGGAGAATTTGACGAAGCGATGGCGGAGGTTGTGACTTCGGCGACGTTGGAAGAGAAGGTGGTGGGAGAGGAAGTTCTTCGAGAAAGAGCTTTGCGGCAGTCCGCGCCCGAAGACGTCGTCTCCGTGGAGGACAGGCCCACAGACGCATACGCCGAGCCCTCAGAGAACGGTCACGCGGCAGAGGACGACGAGGTGGCGGCGGCGGCCGAGAGGGGCGGCGAGGAGCACGGGGCGGGTGAATCTCACGAGGACAAGGCGGGGGGCGACGAGGTGCACTCGGCTCGGCCGGCGCAGCATCCCCAGGGGCCCTGCTTCCGTCTCCGCCCGCGCAAGCAGAACACGCTGTCGATGATCGAGCAGGAGATCCGCGAGTCGCAGGAGCGCGAGGAGGAGCTCCGGGCCCAGAGGCGCAGCCTCTACAGCTCCGACGACGGCTCCTGCCCCTCCCCGTCACCGCCGCCGGCGGCATCGCCGGCGCCGGACGAGGCCACGAAGGGCCCGGCCACCGAGGCTGCTCCCAAACCCACGCCCGAGGTGTCCCAGCAGCACAAGACAGGGCCAGGTACGGGGGGCGGAGGGGGGACCAGGGGCAACATAACAGCAGTGGTAGAAGTTCCACATTCCTGTGGTTGGGGCTGTTATGTGTCTATGTATGTCAGTCCACAGTCTAAGCACTTTCTCTTTCAGGAGTCCATCACTGGCACAGCAGAGGGGTCCATCAAGTTTGCTAATTAATTAGGCATGCAATGATGCATTCAATTAAAAGTTCACGCCACATGCTCTTCAAACCGATCCCGCAGGCCTGGTGGGTTCCGTTGGCTCCTGGATGGGAGTCGAATGCACAACCTTACAAGTTGTGAGCCGAGCACCCAAAGCAGCCATGGTCAATCCACTGCTGGATGAAGGCCTCCCCAAGCCACCACTGCCACCTCTGTATGCACGTACATATTTATGTTTCACACCGTACGTAGCCAACTGCGCTAATTGGAGGTTGTGACAGTATGGCATCCATTAGGGACTCTCCCGCAAAGTAGTACGTGTTTTAGCAACGCCAGAGGAAGGACGAGTTGTCGAGTTCACTCCGAAGTGGGATTCAGACCCGCGGATCGTCAATTTTGCACTCTAAACCGCAGTCCTAATCGGTCGTTACCTTCGGTAAAATGATCATAAAAGCAGCATTCATCATTGTTTATATCATCATCATCACAAGCAGGGTTTCGGCACGTTGCCCCGTGAACCCCCGGTGACTTCATTTCTGTTCGTGGCCATGGCTGAACGGCGCAGGTGAGCCATCTCTGAAGCGGTCCTCTTCACAAACCCGCACTGCCCAGCGTGGTCAAGTGTCGTCGCACACCCCCACGACCAACACTAAATCCGCACCTCCAATCGGTGCGGTTGACTACGTACGGTGCCAAGGAAGTTCAACACACGTACATAAATATGGCGTGTTGACCACGGGGCTATGCATTATGCTTATTCAGGTCTGCAGATGAGTCGTCATTATTAATTGACATGATCATTTCCACGTTTAGGGTCAAAATCTCCGCGACGCTGATGATGAAGTCTTCTCCCCGGTCTCTCTCTCTCTGTACTGCGATGACGCAGGGAGGATCGAGCGAGTGAAGCCCGCCACCGCACGCACCCTGGAAGAGGCAGAGGAGCAGGCTCCCGCCGAGTCGGACAAACGTGGCAAGGGTCTCATGCAGTCCCTGGTTAAAGACTACGACAAGGTGAAGCTTCGTGAGAAGAAGGAAGACCCCTTGGTGAGTGCACACAACAACAACGACAACGATAACGACAACAACAGCAGCATAGCCGCCACCATTGGCCAAGAATCAATGATTTGATTGTTCTCTGGTGTCCTTTCTTAGGAAGCCACTTGGAGCTATGCCCTTTAAAATCTAGATTGACAACTCATTTCTTTGGAACCTCTTGTTGTTGTGTTTAGTTTGTTGTCCTTCCCCCGCACCTCCGTTCAGCCCGGTTGGCTACGAACGGTGTGTCTGACTGAGAGCACTTTACATCTCATCTCATCTCAAACATTTTCAAAGGGCGCCCCCAGAAGCAGCTGTCTCTGTGGGCACAAGGTCACTCGGCACCTGGCCTGCACACAGAGGCATGAGTCTGCCGGAAGGGGGTGATGATTAATTGCTTGTTGCGTGCCAACCCAATTGATAAATTTGCGGGTAATTTTCGAATTTGCCAAATTTGTAACCCAATGCCGGCACATGATGGCCTACTCCTGCCCATGACGTCACGGGATCTCTTAAAGTTCACCGTGAAGCGGACGGGGCGTGTTCCATGGTTATTACACCCGCAGTAATAACCAGGGCAGCCACCGGTTTTTCGAACCACGAACCTCTAACAAACGGTGAACGTGCTCCCAGGGTGACATGATCTCACCCCAACATTTTTGTCAAATTAGGTGCACTTTCAGGCGACGTGAAGTGTCCCAAGAGCTCGCTGGCAGGTCACGTGACACACGGACGCATCAAAATCATCACGCAAACTTTGGTTTTATGGGTGGCCAAATTGAGTCTGCGGAAACGCATGTCGCTGGGGTAAAAAAAAAATCGACATTTCCTGATCTCAGCGGTGCCGATGAGTAACAGAGGTGTAACGACGCGTCGTTTCACGATACGAAAGAATCGGTGATGACACATTCACATACGTTGTGAGTACCGGATGCTTATAGCCCTGCAAGTCCACTGTAGGCAACGGTAGTCGCCACGTAAATTAAAAACGAACGGATTCTTTGAGCAACTTGTCACCATGAATCGCGACAGGGGAGTGAACCATGACAATCATCTCTTGCACGTTCAGTGTTAGGAGGCGGGGCGCGGGGGGGTCTCCGGAACGATGGTGGCACCACATGAATATTGAACACCTCTAAAAGGCAACAAACACGCGTCTCACACGGAGCGCAGGCCTGCATCGGGGACCCCTGCGTTGTCCGTGTGGCCGGTGTGCGCGCTACGCCCAGCACTCACAAGCCCCGCCACCCACCTACTGGCCGGAATCAATATCGGCCGCCCGTGTTGGATATTCACGCGTTGTTCGAAACCTATAGCAAATAAGAGGGGTGGCGAACATTGCTATTGAATGATGAACAAGCAAAAAGTGCTGTGTCCTTTTCTGGCCTTAACCACAGGTGGTGTTAAGATGTTCAAACACCAAAGTGCAGCAAAACCTTGGATTGCGGGTAACTTGATCTGCGAGTGTTTTGCAAGACGAGCAAAAATTGTAAATAAATATTAATTTGATAAACGAGCGAGGGTCTTGCAATACGAGTAGTAGTACGTATAGACGCTTTGTACTGCCGAGCGTCACCTGATCACAACTGATATACGAGTGATTTGATATATACGAGCGCTTTGGATTACAAACGCGTTTCCGGAACGAATTGTGCTCGCAATCCAAGGTTTTACTGTAGACACTAATTACAGGGCACAGTGCTTGCGGTAAAACGCGTTAACAAATACGGTTTTTCAATGTACTGATTGGCCTGCACCAGAGGACGGCCTCTTTTATGGCACTGTCTCACCAGTGCTGTCGACCAAATGGTGCCAAAACGGCGAGCAGTACAAGGACAATGCAAACACCAAAGCATGAAAAGCTCGGGTTAAGCGGTTATAGCTATGAGGCACTTTCGCCAGTATTATTCCAATACTAAGAAATAATTTGGGAGGGTGGTGGTGGGGGGTATGTAACGTTTCTCCTCTCGTCATTTTCAATGCAAGAATCCCCTGCGTGGTGACTGTAGTGCCTCTAGTGGCTGCCAGGGTCACAGGCACGCGAAGCAATTGCAACAACACACGCGAAGTCAAACTAAAGTTGTTTACGCACAACAACACGATTCAACGCACCTCCGGTTAGCACGGTCGGCTACGTACGGTGCGAAAGAAGTTCAATATACGTACCTGCATACAGAGGTGGCAGTGGTGGCTTGGCGAGGCCTTCATCCGGCAGTGGATTGACCATGGCTGCTGCTGATAATAATGATGATGTTTAATTCAGACAAGTGGCACGTACTCTGCTTTTGGTGCTCTGCTCACAACTTGTAAGGTTGTGCATTTGGATCCCATCCAGGAGCCAATGGAACCCACCAGGTCTGCGGGATCGGTTTAACGAGCATGTACCGTGAACTAATAATTGAATGCACCGTTGCATGCCTATTGAATGAGCAAACTTTATGGACCCCTCTGCTTTTCCAGTGATGGACTAATGAAAGAGAAAGTGCTTATACTGTGTACTGACGTGGTTTGTGGTTTGTTGTGTTTCAGTACGCTGGAATCCTTGCTGCGGATGAAGTTGCGTCAGAGGTACCGTAGACTTCTCAGCATTGCTCAGTGAATGACATTTTCTGTACCTGAAGGATTAGGTGACCTTTTGAGATTGAGGTTGTAGTGAAAAGGTTTGTCGGACACGGCTGCGTTAGAAGAAGCCAAGCAGGAGATCGTTGAGATACCTGGGATGCAGGATGGGCATGGATACGGCAGTTGGGAATAATGGGTTCTTGAACCCATCTGTGCGGATCTTTAAATGTCAAACGCCTTGTGTGCTCTGGATACTCCAGTATCCTTCCATATACAAGACGCTTCTTAATCCAAACAACCCAATGCAGGACTTTTCTGTAAACAAAATCTCAATAGTACTTTTCTGTCTGAGACTTAATTTCAGGAGGGCCATTTTTGGCCCTTTTTTTAAAGGATTCATTTGCCCCTAGACGATTCGGAATTTTAATCTTTATTTCGACTGAAGGAGAAATCCGATGAGCTGTGAAGCTCTTTTTCGCAGATGTCCAGTATGGGCATGGGGTCGGCACAATCGTGAGGACCCAGAGAGAACCCGCACAAAGGTGAAGACAGCAGCCAAAAACCCATGGGGACTTGTCTAGAACCCACTTGCTGTATTCCCATCTCCTGGTTGCCAGAAACTTGGCAGACTGATGATGATTCATGAGTGATCCACCTACCCCCTACCGCCAAAGCAATGAGTTGCGCACATGCGCCACCACGCCAAGAAATTCTAAACTAAACGTATTTATTCATAAAACTATTATTTAATGTTACTAGGTAAGCCCCACTGAGCTATAAAGCTGTCTTTCAGAAGCGATCTGGCCAAAAATGATTGCTCAGCGAGAATTGGCTTATCACGTGGACATTTATAGCAGCCAATCATCACTCTAAACGCGTGACATTGATTCTAAATGTGGAGGGAAAAACCGGAGGACCCGGAGAAAAATCCACGGCGACCACGGGGAAAACACGCAAACTCCAATTATGCAGCAGGCATCGTCGAACCCACGACCTCCTGTATACCAGGCGAGGCAGTTAACAGCTTTCCAAACAAGTTGAGAACGAGATGGCCAAGAGCAGTGGCGCGTTGTGGGCCAAGGAACACAAAACGTCCGAGCGGAGCGCCCACGGAGACGGAACGATGGAATCGGCTCGTGCGCAGGTGCTTACGTAGATTGTTACATCGCGGGATGGGTGAGAGATGGCGGTGTCCTTGTGGGGCGGGGGGGGGGGGGGGGTTGGGGGGGGGGGGGGGCCCCCGGGGGATTGACACCGGGCGTTTGTGCTGCCAGGTGGTGGAGGTGACGCGGGTGACTCGGAGGAAAAGCGCCAAGGCCATGCGATGGGAGGCCGGGATCTACACGAACCACGCCGAGGATGAAGATTGACGGCGCAGCCTTAAGCGCGATGGGGTCTTTGCTTTGGACCCAAACTGGATGGCGCTGTGTGCGTGTGCGCGTGTGTGCGTAATCGTTTTTTTGTCAGTTTGGGCCTCACATTAAGGCTGCTGCTGATTATTTTTCCCCTAAATGTTTCATGACCAAGTTACAAGCGAGCCGGAGCCATTCGACATCCAAACGGGGCCCTAACTGGGCCAAAGTGAGCTATGAGGCCTCACCTCCCTCCCAACATCTCCTACCGCACTCCACCATCGTATCTCCAACCGCATTTTTTTTGTGCATCGGAGGAGTTGAGCTGCAAATTACTCCAATCTTCTTTTTCTTTCGTGCAGCCGATGTAGATGCAGAGCGACAACTCCAATTTTGCATTCAGGTTGTCAAGCCCAGATAATCGTGTCAGGAGCAGCGAGGAGTGGTGTATCGCGATGATGTCTCCTTCCAATTATCTGCGATTGTCCGATAATTTTTCACTGTAGGCAAGCAAAGTAAAATAGCAGATAACCCCGCAGATAATAAGGATCCGTTACATTAGTCTCTCCACATTGGCACGGATAAAAGAACACGTAGGCTTTCGCGACCAATGTTATTTATTATGGACGGATAAAAGAGTTCTCTTGCACAATTCTTCATACTCCCTCTTGTCTTCTACGACCTGGTTACCAACCAACGTGGGCTGCGCTGGGCAGATATTTAGGCGACGTTCTGGGCGATCGTGTGGGTCAGGAAGTGGACCAAAGATGATGTTGTGAGATTGTTGTCTTCAACGCGTTTTGTGCGAGCGAAAGTTATGCTGGTCCACGTTCGCTCAAAACTTTTTTTTTTAATTCATTATAATTAATATAACCGGTTGGATGGCGCTATTACAGAGTGCTCAGCTCACAGTCGGGGGAGGTATTAGGTTTAAATTTTGGAGTAGATAAAATGAGTACCGCATTACAATCGGTCAGGAGTGATCGCCCTTTGAAAATAGTTTTCCTCACCACGGGAAATGCGGAAATTTCCACTACTGCCTTTGGGCTGTCAACAGATACGAGCACTGCACCGCACGGATTACGTTGTTTTTATATTGTTGATAGTTTTCATTGTATTTGAGTGGCACGTGCGACGGGCAGCGTCACGCACTCCTCATTTGGTGGCCGGGTCGGCCCCACCAAAGGGATTGTTAGCACCATTTTTTTTAAGGAGTGTGGCAATGGCACACGTGTGTAGCACGCTTAGCGATGACTCTGGTCCACTGTTTGGAAGTCATGGAGATATGGGAATGCGTAAGGACCGAGAACAGGTGAGGCGCAGGTGGCTCGGAACTGGCCAGCAAAAACAAACGCTTTAAATTATCTGTCTGCCGTGAGAGCACTCGGCACGCAAGCAAGTACGTTTAGAACTCTCTGCGAGGTTGTGCGAGGCTTGACAACCCACTGGGGTTTCAGAGTTGCAAACGATGTACATTCATAGTCGACGATGGATGAATATCGCTTCGGTTGCATTTTTGTGGTCAGAAACTAAAGGAGCCGCGTCAGATCAACCGCTACTGTGGAGACTCGGGGATAGGAATGGGGGCTTAGCTAGGAGGGAGCTGTGCCAGGAGGGCCCCATCAGAGTTGGCTTCGCCGAGTGGCCCGCTGCTGCCGCTGCTGCGTTGTCCTGGCATGTGCTCCCGCACTCGACTAAACCCGAGGGGTTTGCCGCTCAATACTTTTTTACATATATCCGGGTGATGGCTCTCCTTTAGATTTCTGAACAAAACCTTACAAGCCAAAAAAAACTCCTGGAGGGAAAAGACTCAATGACCACTGAGCACATTGCAGCGAGCAACACCTGCAGAACATGGCAGCGTTCATATTTATTGCAGGGTGCGCGTTCTGCGCGGAGCGTACCACTCGTGTGAAGGCGGAGATATTTCGGTCGCCCCTTGCGTAGGGAAATGCAATGGAAGGGGGAGCATCGTCGCCAGAGGAGGTGTTTGTGTCCGACACGTGCCCCGTTAGCGAGGGGATGTTAAGCAGCACAAATACTTTGCCACAAGCAAAAAAAAACTTTATGTACAGAAAATTACTTTTGGGTGGCCGGTAAACGGCGCGCAACATTGGGCCAAAGTTGGCATGTGAGCGGACCCAACGTTGGCCCAACGTTCGTTGTTTACCGGCTAACCGTGTTTGAACACTACACGCTGCAGTTTTCTGACGGCAAATTCGTTTGACACCATTTTAACCCGTGGACAGCTCGCACAGTTTGTCTGCTCGCGTTTTATTTGGAGAGAGAAAATAAAAAGTACACGACAGTGTTCTTTTGTTGTTAAAATTTAAATGTGCTTTCATACGTAGACTAGCTCGGTGTGTCTTGTAGACTCCTTAATATTTGAGGTCGGTTTAACTTATCTGCTAAAGTAGAGATTATGAAAAGTGGCGCTTGTGTCTGGTCTTGGGTGCGAGACAAAAAAAAACGTATTGAATAGACGTGGTGGTGAAACACCTAAGCCCATGGCTGGTCACCACAGACTCGCACATCATCCGGACACACTGCACATCTTGCTACGTCGTACTGGTAGATGGTAGAACTCCTCTTGTCCACGATAGTGTGGGAAACGAACGACGCAGATCCCATTATCCGCGTGGTTATCTGCGAATTTACTCTCGTTTATTTGCGTGGGGGGTTGTGGAGAATCATGGATAATAGGGTCGGCGGATAATAGTTTTTGCAAACCGCCCGATGGCTCTTGCGAGTAATAATAATCACGGTGGCGAGATGTCAACTACCTCGCCTGGTGTACAAGAGCTCGTGGGTTTGAACCCGACCCTGGCGCCTGTATATTTGGAGTTTGCGTGTCTCCCCGTGGTCGTGTGGATTTTCCTCCGGGTCCTCCGGTTTTTCTCTCCACATTTAGAACCAACATGCATTTCGAGTATTTGGCTGCTATAAATTTCCACGTGATAAGCCACTTCGTTGAGCTGTCATTTGTGGCCAAGTCCGCTTTTAATAAAAGAGCTATGTAGCTCAGTGGGCCCTTTCCTGGTCAAATAAAAACAAATTGGTTTTAGTTCATATAGTCGCGGATAAAAGGAGTTGCACTCTGCGTAGCGCAGTTTAGTTCTGTGTAAGCGTCGCTTTCTGATCAGAATGTAGTACGATTCCCCAGCACGCATCAGCAGAAAACACAGTGGGGAACGCGCGATGAATTTTGTGACGACGCGTGTATCAAACACGGGTTGCGTAGTTTGATCTTTTCCAGTGGAATACACGGTCACGAACGCGTTGACAAAATGTGGTTTTCACATTCTCACCTTTGTCTTCACAAATATTTAATTGTCAAACAAATCTGTATTTTAACTGTCATTGCAGACTGCACCTTCGGTAAAAACCTTGCCAAAGTGAAACTTAAGAAAAAACAATAGTATTTAAAGAGCAACTCCATCCAGTTATATAATTGGCATTAAGTACTCCGAATCGGCAAATGTACTTTTGAAACTGCAGAGGGCAGTCGTGCGTAAGGCTGAGCTGTTGTCATATTTGGTTCTTTCGGTAAAGTCCATCTACGTGACTTTACCGAAATAATAAAAGAATATGAATTCCTGCAGTCACGAAAGTTTTAAGACGAGAAAGCTGAACAGTTTGTGCCGCGCAGCTGTCTCCCCCCCCCCCCCCCATGCGTTTACCGGGTCGTGCCGCGTGTTTTGTGTGGTGTCCCGCGACGTTTCGCGCCACGTACCCTCCAAAGCGGCTCCCGGGGTAAGTGGGGGGCGCGCCGGTCGGGACGCTTCGCGCACAGCAGCGTGGAGATGACCCCGTGGTCGCGAGATGACATCGGGGAGCGACGCAGAGAGAACTGCAGCGGCGGCACCGTCTTAAGATGTTTAAGCGGTGTGACACAGAGCCGTGGCTTTGGCTGAGAATGAACAGAAGAACGTTGTTGGGCCTTCTAAAATGTTAGTTGAATTTCTCGTATATCCTACCTTAAATGTACCTCCCCCCCACTCCCCCCTGTACATTTTTAATGAATTGCCTGTAACTGTAAATATTTATGTCATGTTTGTTGTGAGCACGCAGTGGAGATTCCGACGGCGAGGGAGGGTTTTGGCGTCTTGCACGATGATGGCCTGCATCTGAATTGCTCGGAAGTTACGGATGGTTTAACGCTACCTAATGCATCGTCGTAGCATCCCTGGCCCTCAGAGATCCCTCCTGATGCTTCCCCTGGTCGAAATAAGTTACGTAAATAACAGTTATGCAGTAAATGCATTTTTAAAAAATGAAATAAAAATGAATGAAAAACAACATTTGTGTTGCAGACTTTGCTGTATTTTTTTGTATATATACACGCAACGTAGTGGGTTTACAGAGACCAGTGCAGCGTAATACATCGCGTGTTAGACTTCACCACAGCGAGACGAAATGTTAAATATCCCGCCACGTGTCACACGGTGTAGGAAGGGCATCATCCAGCAGTGTATCGACAAAGGGCTTGTACCTGTGGAATGGTATCACCAGCCATGGAGGTGAACAAACGTTGCTTTCACGTCTTCAGAACCACAGTTGTTCCCACGATGTCGATAACGGCCCTGCAAGAGGACACCGGGCTTTTACTTTGCGGGTTTCGTCTCCCTGTGCCGCCCGTCGAGTGCAGTGGCTCTTCATTGGAAGGTCCAGCGAGCCACTGGTGGCCCCTGGTGGCCGTTAGTGTGGCCCCTGACTTTCGCCTCCTCCCACCCGACACTACACACACAGAGTGAAAACACCACCACCCATCATCATCGTCGTCGTGCTGCTGTGAACACCAGTGCCGAATTATCCTAGTAGCAACAGTAGCTATATATGTGGTAGCTACTACATCGCGTGTTAAACTTCACCACATATGTAGTAGCTACTACGGGGCCCGTACATAATTATGTAGTAGTAGCCCGTAGTAGCTACGGGCCCCGCACTTTCAAGGGCCCCGCGCTAAATGCTTCCAAGCTTTCATTTCCGTTTCAGTGATTCTGCACTTGCTCTATTACTATAGTACTATACCGCCTTCAACTTTTATGAGCGACCGGGTGTTTAAGGTTAGCGATTTGTCGTATTATCTGGCCGTATAGCAAATGAAAAAATAAAATTACTATGCAAGTTAAAAGTTTGTGTTTTAATATTTACGTGTTAAAAAAAAAACATTTTAGGGCCCCCTTTCAACATTCGCTACAGGCCCCGCGCTAGCTTCATCCGGCACTGGTCAACCAACCCCCGGTGGTTTCAAACGTGTGACGGCCCTCTTACTGGTGATGTCTTGTCGGCGAAAGTGGCCCTCCCTCTTGACGGTTAAGAAACACCGCTCCAGGACGGTAGTCCACTCCCTATGGGGACGGGAGCACCAACGTTAAAGCCACAGGGAGACCGAGTAAGTGAAAAACAAACGTACTGTATGCACATATTGCCTTTTGTGCAGTTATTTATAAATGGGGCTGAGGCCATAGTAAACTTTGATAATAATGCGGAAGCTGTCAGTGGCCCGAGTCTTCTACTTTCGTGCGATTATCCACACCGCCTCCCCCCCCTCCTCCATAGTTAATTGCAGAATGGCCTACAATTGTGCACAATTTATGTTGCGGATATGAGGAGTCGTGTGGCAATTCCATCGTATTGTCCGCAAGTTGTGTTCCCTATAGAAGTGAAGTAAAATTGTGGATTACCCCGTGACAATGTTGTCCATGGTCATCTGTACTCCTATACTACAGATAATAGGAGTCGTGTACTCCTATTCTACAGATAATAGGAGTCGTGTACTCCTACACTACAGATAATAGGGGTCGTGTACTCCTACACCACGGATAATAGGAGTCGTGAACTCTTCCACCACGGATAATAGGAGTCGTGTACTCCGCCACGGATAATAGGAGTCGTGTCCTCCTATACTACAGATAATATGAGTCGTGTACTCCTACACCACGGATAATATGAGTCGTGTACTCCTACACCACGGATAATAGGAGTCGTGTACTCCTACACCACGGATAATAGGAGTCGTGTACTCCTACACCACGGATAATAGGAGTCGTGTACTCCTACACCACGGATAATAGGAGTCGTGTACTCCTACACCACGGATAATAGGAGTCGTGTACTCCTACACCACGGATAATATGAGTCGTGTACTCATACACCACGGATAATATGAGTCGTGTACTCCTACACCACGGATAATAGGAGTCGTGTACTCCTACACCACGGATAATAGGAGTCGTGTACTCCTACACCACGGATAATAGGAGTCGTGTACTCCTACACCACGGATAATAGGAGTCGTGTACTCCTATACTTGAGAGCCGTTAATAAAACACGAACAAATTCGGCATCTCATCAGCGCTGACTCGACCACCTCTAACACCTCTCTAATAGTTTATTCTCTGATGGGATTCATAGGCCAGCTGATGAACGTGATGCGCCACTCGCACAAAATGATTTCACAAATTATTGGCTGTAATTCCACTTCGTGTTGCACAGACTGACATCAAGGAAGACATCTGTTGTAAATTGACATGTAATGACATCATAATTCGCACGATTAAGGACATTGTGTGCTGGTGCAATGACTCACATTTTATACATTTCACACATTTCTAAAAGTCCATTGCATGTAAACTGGTCCTGCACGGAGTGTCATTGTAGAACACAATGTATGTTTTTGTAACGTGTATTTTTTGCACTGAATTTATTGTGCCGGTCTGGTACAGGCAATTGTCTTTTTGTTTTTAAATTATTTTATTAATTGGTTTGCATTATAAATTAATATTTCATCGGCTTTTGAACATGTTGCTTTTTAACTAAATTTGTACCGATTGTCCTGGCCGTGCTGATATTTTATGTTTTTTAGAACTATGAGAAACCATTCATCTTATAGACAACCCATATTTTACTCTCCTAGCCTCTGTTCTGTATGTATTAATTACAAGGCATTTTAAATATGTGTACACATGTGCTAATCTTGAACGACTTAAACTTACTTAACATGTACTTAGATGGCGCTTAATTACGTAAATTAACATCTGAAAGGGCTGAACGTTTATTACAAATTATTATTTTCTATTACCAGGTAAAGCCCACTGAGCTATATAGCTCTTTTTCATAAGCGACCTGGCCACGGGTGATAGCTCAACGAAGTGGCTCATCACGTGGACATTTATAGCAGCCAAATACTCTAAACGCATCTTGATTCTAAATGTGGAGGGAAAAACCGGAGGACCTAGAAAAAATACACGCGACCACGGAGAATGAGACACGCAAACTCCAAATACACAGCAGGCGTCAAGGTCGGGATCGAACCCACAACCTCCCGCATGCCAGGCGAGGGAGTTAACATCTCGGGTCAAAGCAGGCTGGGTGTTTTTAGAGGGAGGTGTGTTTAGAGGGAGGCGTGAGGAATGGAAGCGACGAGGGAATGGTCAGAGATGGATTTTATTTTATTTATTTTTCTCGGTGATCTCAACCTGGGACGTGTGACCCAGGCCACGACAGAACTCGGGACCCAGGTGGACGGCCCGCAGATGATGGAGTTTGTACGCGGCGAGAGAGAGAGAGATGAAGATCGAGGGAGGATAGAAGGGCGAATTCGTAAATCGGAGGAATTGGCTGTCCACAACACGTCGTGAACTGGTACGTGGTGGTACTGGGTGTAACTGGGTTTTATGCGTCTTCTCTTGGGGCTGGTTAAGCCGAGCCAGATGAGTTGGGGCAATTGGTGGGGGTGTGTGAGTGAGGCTGGGAACGAAGCGAGCTCAAGGGAGGCGTCGTTTGTGGGCATTGTGGACAGCAGAGGGCAGTGCAAGCGAAGGCCGTTGTAGAGTGATGCGTTAATAACTAACGGATGTACGTCTTCCCACGTTTAAGTCGTTTCGCAACTACGTCGTCGCTTCACGAACAATCGCCTACGTCGCCGGCAGCCGTCTGTCCTTTCTCTCAATGCATTCCATAAAAACGGCCTTACACGTGCACTTAATAATAATTTTTAAATACTGAGTTTATGTAAATCTTAACTAATTACCTATATTCTTTTTTTTATTTTACCAGGTAAAGCCCACTGAGCTATATATAGCTTGTTTTCAGAAGCGACCTGGCCACAAAAGACAGCTCAATGAACTGGTTCATCATCATCATCATCATCGTGGGAATTTATAGCAGCCAAATTACTTTAAACGCGTGGTGATGTCGATTCAAAATGTGAAGGGAATACCCCGCAGGACCCCGAGAAAAATTCACACGACCACGGGGAGACAACCTCCTGCATACCAGGCGAGGTAGGTAACATCTCATAGCCACCGCGTCACCTGAATCGTAATTCAGGTAAATGCTGCATTTATATAACCAGGCAACCTTCAGTCTGTGGAGACACAGACCCTTTCCCAACAGAGACCGTGGGATAAATTATAACAAAATAAAAATAAATGTGTAAATATAAAATACACTGAAAATGTGGCAAAACGTGGATGACTGTACCTAATTGACAACACACGCACCAAACAAAACAACGTTTAACCTCAACGTATGAAACGTTTACGCGTAAAGGTTTTAATTGCTCAAGAACACAGTTCGAGAAACAAAAGTACACTTCCTTGTAAGATAATGAGCAACAAATAAAGTTAATTGTTGGACAGGCAGCGTTCGCATAAATAGGAATTCTCGTCACCACGGAGAGGCTGAGCAAACACAAACCCCGCAGCTGCAATCACGTTTTGCAGCCCTTTCTCAATCCACTGCTGGATGAATGCCTCCCTCCGACCATTTCACTTATTGGGGGGTTGTTTTTTGTTTACCGTAATTCCACCATCCCAGTCAGTGCGGGGTTGCTATGAACCCTCTCGCCAAAGCCCTTGTCCTGTGGATAGGGGCGATAGGGGCTGGGTGGGTGGGTTGAGACGATCTCCGGCTCGATTATATAAACGGGCACTGGGGGAGAGGAGAGCGTTCAATGTCGGGAGCAGACTCTCAACTAAAATGTTAAAACTGCCAACGGGACGTGCCGTGGACGTGACTTTTATTTAATATTTGTGTCTGCCACACGGTTCTGCCCCTGGCCGTGTCGCCCTCGCCTCTCGTTGCCTCCGATCGCTCCCAACTCGTTCTAAACATCCCCTACCGGCAGCCTTCACTCGCCCACGACAAGGGACGGAGGGGCTTGAGCCCTACGGGAGTGATGAAGCTTCCCGTAGGCTCGATCCTCCAGGGCTGTGCGAGACGTGGTGCGCACACACCGCTGGCCGATTGCTCAGCAGACCAAAGGACTCTCTGTGCCGTGTCTCTTCGGATAA